TGGTGCCACTATAATATTTTATTTTGTTTCTTATTCTTAACTAAAATAGTAAATGGATGACAAAGTAGTAATTTGTAAAATAAAAATAATGCTTCTGATTTACGATTTTGAGTTATATATAATATCTAATACAGTAAAACTTGTCAATAACAAAAAACTATTGGCCATTATATACAGTTTGCGGCTATTGCCATGTCTTGTAGTTTACAAATACATAAACGATAATTGGAACTTTGTTTATTTTATTAATTAAAGCAAATATAATTCTATACATGAAGGGAAACGATACTAAAATCGCAATAAAGATGTATTAGAAATAAACAAACCAAGACAAATTTAAAAAGTATCGGAAGAATTATTATGTTAATTTTACAAATTAATAATTTCACTAATTACTCATATCAAGTTAGTATTTTAGTTGGGGATAAAACATAAAATTGGCTTATTCTGCACACAAATTTCGGATATGTAGATAGATTATTTTTAAATGCAAATTTTGTACATTGAAATAAAATTTATTTTTTTAGGATCTGGGGCAGATGATATATATGTGCCAAGTTTAATTTGGTTTGATAGCGTTTCTTTTTTGGATGACGTTTCCACACCAAGAAAAACATTCTCTACTCTCCCTAAAGGAAAAGGTGTAAGTAAAAATACGATTTTTTTCATACATGTTTATTACTTTATTACTAAAAATAAAAACTTGCTATATCCTATTTTTATTGATATTTAAACATATTTCCATTGAAAATCAATTTGCCCTTCATTATAAAAATAATTTGCAAATTCTTCGCGAATGGAACGTGCAAGTTCACTGGAATTGTTACTTCCCTGGTGAGATATATTTCTCATAATATTCAAATTATCCTCATTATCATAATTGATAACATTTGTTCTCAATGTTTCTTTAAAAAAAATATGCAAGACGCATGCACATAACACAATTTTGTCAATATTTTCAACTTTAAGGCAAATTGGTTTTCTAAATATACGAAAGCGTGACACTAAAATCCCGAAAGCATTTTCTACCACTCGACGAGCACGGCAGAGACGATAATTAAATACTTTTTGTTTTGCAAGTAATCTGCTCCTAGGAAAAGGTTTTAAGAGATTTGTCGAAAGAGCAAAGGCTTCATCTCCAAGCATAACATAAGGTACAGGCTTGGTGCGATTTGGAAGGTTTTCCTCAGGTGGTATATTTAATGTTCCCTCACACAGTTCTGCATATAGTGTAGAATTTTTAAATATACCCCCATCAGACAGACGTCCATTGCTCCCAACATCTATGTATAAAAAATTATAGTCTGCATCCGCCAGAGCCAAAAGCACAATACTATGAGTACCCTTATAATTGAAGTAGTAGGATCCTGCATTTGGGGGTGCTTCAATTTCTACATGCTTGCCGTCTATAGCGCCAATGGTATTGGGAAAGTTCCATTTGTTAAAAAATTCCTTAGCAACTTTTTTCCATTCATCATTATTGCTAGGTATCTAAAATGCATTTTTGTTATTATTTCAGGTGACACAATCAACAAATGAAGAGCCAGAGGCCCCCACTCCAATTATAATGGCCCCCACAACTCCAATTGCATGTCATGAAGCAGCAACATGGGATCAGGCCGTAAAAGAAAATATTTGAGAGAAGAATCAAAACTTCCAGAAAAAGGGTTCCATGATGCTGTTAATGCTTTAAGTGCTATATGCAAAGAGGAGTCAACTGAGTTTGATAAATTTGGGGAAAGCATGGCAGCGCAGCTGAAAGCATTGCCTATTGAAGATGCTGTAAGGCTGCAGTTTTAACTCCAGCAGCTCATGACAGAGGCAAGATTAAATGTCATACAGAGGCAAAAGAAAGCACGGCTTATGAACAGTAACAGCCGAGAAGTTACTCCTTCACGACCAGATCACTGTTTCAACTTTCAATCCCCGTCTACATCTAATTCAGAGACATTAGAAGAATATAGTGATACAAATAAAGCTATTTTTCTAGCAATGCGACATGTCCAAATAGAAGATGACGAGGACTCAGGTTCAAATTAAAAATGTATACACAAAATTAAATAAAAAATTTACTAAACAATGCATTTTATTTTTATTGAAAAGACTGATTTGTGTTCTACTCACTTCTGACAAATGAAAGAATGGGGAAGAACAGTATTCACTATATAAAAAAATATAATATATATTTATTATATTATTTATAATATATACTATACTTTTCCATATATTAAATACTGTTCTTTCCCATTCTTTCAATCGTCAGATGTGTACAAAACATATATATTATACAGGGCCATATTTCACCTTGAGGCCTTGGGCACATTAAAAAAATGGAGCCACTGGCCTATAATCAAGCCAATTTTGAGGCTTGTTCTCACTTAAAATAATAAATTGATCTGATAAAAGTATTAGTTTGTAGAATTAAAATTGGAATTATTCTGATTTATGTATTCACTTTGTATTTTAGTAGTATTTTAAAAATAATATGGTATTGTTTAACCACACAAGTGCCACTGCCAACAAAAAATTTTTACAAAGTGAATAAGGTGCATAATTCAGACAAATTATTGTTTATATTTTGCAAACTAATACTTTGTCATGTTAATTTATTATTTTAGTTAGGAATGAGCCACAAAATTGACTTATTTTGCACATTATATTAGATAGACCGGTAGACTGCAGAAGATAGTAGCACCAGGAAAGGTGTCTTCAATGTTTTTCCCTTTATATTGTTCTGAAGCTATTTTCTTGTGGCATTTTAAAGTTAATTACTATTTAACTGGGAAATAAGCCACAATTAAAGGTAAAAATACGTTTATTGACATTTCAATTTCCACTTCGGAAATCCTTCTCAGATAACGATTTCCGAAGTGGAAATTGAAACGTCAATAAACGTATTTTTACCTTTAATTGTGACTTATTTCCCAGTTAAATAGTAATTAGTTTTTCCCTTTGGTGCCTTCTCAGCAAATTATTTGCAACTCTGTCTCAACTATTCGAAATTTAGAGTTTTCAAGCCACAGCGTTGACTAATGTTCCTATATGAACCTAATCACTGTTTTAGATTAACACCCTGGAAATCAGTTATGGCGATAAAGGATTTTATATTTCACATATATTTTCTCTGTACCTAGATAACTGATTCAGTTAACAATTAGTAATCAAGTAAAGACGAGGGGACCCCAATCATCACGTCCCTGGCACATGGACAGTGGAGAAGAAGGGCTTGATTATATAAAGCTTTACACACTTACAAAAAATACTTTACTTCCTCTTTCTTTCAATTTTTATTTTGTACCTACCTTCATATATCCTGGCTGCAAAACAGAATATGCAACTTCACATACTTGAGGGACAAATAAACTTATTGTCGAAAATGACACTCTTGTTAAGTATTCTAATGACTTATAGCTATCCCCAGTGGCAAGAAATCTCAAAGATACTGCAAGTCTTAACTCAGAACTTACACTACTTCGTAAGCAAGTATTTTGTTTTTCGATGTATGGACGAATCTTAAATTCAAATAATTTTAAACATAAATACCTATTTTAAAGTGCTAAAACTTACCTTCTGATGTAACATCATAAACACGTCGTATTCCATACGCATAAAATTTTTAAAGTCCTTTCCATCTTGTGTTAGTAAAGTTGTGAGCAAGCCTTCTTCAATGCCAAATATGTGACGCTCTTGTAAATGTTGTTTCACCCAAATGCTTTTCTTTTTCTTAATTTTTTTGTCGTTATTTTTCTCCTTTAAAATGTTTAATAACACTAATGCAACAGCAGCTCGTTTCTTTCTTGATGGCGCCATTTTTAAATTATCTTTGAAACTACTCGGATCGCTCGAATTTAATGTAAACGATCGCAGTTCCACTCGTAACTCAAATCCGAGCTACTCGGATCCGAGTACTCGTAAATGTAAAGCGGACTTTAAACCCTGAGACAAGAAGCTGTAATATTTTTCCAGAATTAGTAGATTATGACTCGACGTCTTCGGAAAATGAGGATACATTTGAACTAACTGAAAAAAGTGACGAATTGAGAAAGCAAAATAAAACAAAAATAATAATTGGAAGAGGCATGGCAAAAAAATTCAGTTCGGAAAATTCATTTAATAATGACCCTGATTTCTATTCGTCATCTAATTGTGACACAGATACAAGCCACCCAGATATAACTTGTTCTTTAGTTGGAAAATCAGGAATAAGGAAAAAGAAACAGCTTAACAAAAGAGAAACTAAAAAATGCGAGTACAACTTTGGCAAAGGTAGATCAGTAAAAGAAAATCCCTGTAAAAAAAAATGTCAGCATAACTGCTCGGCTAAAATCTCTGAGATTACACGGCATGACATCCATGATTTGTACTGGGGGCTTGGTAATTATGAAAAGCAGAGAAATTGGTTAATATCATGTGTCAAAAAGGTAGACATATTGCGAAGAAAAACAGAAGCAGAGTATAGCAGACGACAAAATTCATACAAGTACTTTATCAGTTGGGACGATAAAATACTTGAAGTGTGCCAACAGTTTTTATTACAGACTCTAGATATTTTGCAAACGGTTATGAGATATGCAATAAAACATGGTGTACAAAATACATGCAAACGTGATCAGAGAGGCAAGCACCTGTTAACAAAACAAGTTCAGACATGATTAATAAAATACACGATTTTATTAAACAATTGCCAGTTGTACCATCCCACTATTGTCAAAATTGAAGTAGCAGAAAATACCACAAGAATTGCGAAATGTTAGTTTCCTATACAGGATGTTTATTAAACATGAGGAGGTAAATGGAAGAAACAAGAAAGATTGTGTTTCACTCAAAGTTTTTAGGAACGTTTTTAACAAATATTTTAACCTTGGGTTCCACTTACCTAAAAAAGATAAGTGTTCTTTGTGTGAGGTACGAAAAGATAAAGAATTTCAAGAAAACACTACGTCGAAAGAGACATACGATAAACATTTAAAAGAAAAGGAAGAAAGTAAAGAACTCTTTTTAGAAGATCAAAAGAAAGTTAAAGAAGTCTCAGATTCAGTTTGTTCAAGTTTCGATTTACAGCAAGTATTAAATACTCCCCATGGGGATAACATGTTATTGTATTATTCTCGAAAATATTCATTTTATAACGAAAGTATATACGAAACGCCATCGCAAGATGGATACTGCTTTTTGTGGTGTGAATCCGATGGCAATCGTGGGTGCAACGAAATATGTACCATTATTTACACTTATTTAAAAATGTTAGAAGAGAGAGATATTAGACATCTTATTTTGTACTGCGACAGCTGCGCTGGACAAAATAAAAATAGAGCAATGTTGGTTATGATCCACTCATTCTTGCAAAACTCTAGAAATGTTGAAACCATTAAAATTGTATTTCTTTTACCGGAGCATACCTACATGCCTGTTGATTCGATACACGCAGTTATAGAAAGGTTTATCAAAAATAGAATTATATGGGTCCCTTCAGAATGGAGCACTATTATAGGAAATTGCAGAGTTAACCCGAGGCCATATAAAGTTATAAGACTTTAGTTCTAGGAGTTCAAAAATTGGAAGAAAATAGGGGACGATCAGCTGGTCCTTAAAAAAATCGTATTAAAAATGAAAAAGCTTTTTTCCAAAAAGGATCATCGGAAGTTGCGGTCAAATATAACTATGGTAGAAGTCCTGAATACGATTTGTGCTTTAACCCTTTGATGACTGTCGGTATGCTGAGATGACCACCTTTTTAAACATTTCTGTTAAACTTTCCAGCGGTCATAAAGTCATACCAGCGTGTAAAATTGGTTGCCTATACTATATTCTAAATATCTATCAGTTTAGAATCGATTTTATTGAATGATATTGACTGGATAACATAATTAGTCAAGCTAACATTTGAAGCGGACGTTCAGAGTTGACAGAGCGACATATTTTAATTGTTTTTTATTTATTCGATTATTATTAATTAGAAAATATTGCAGGTAAGTGATATTTTTGAAGTCTGTTTCACACTAAGTAGTGTTATTTGCATGAATACATTTCAATTTTTGTTGTAGATCACTGTCTTTTACGTGGTATTCTGGCACGACCATCGGGCACTTCCTATATGAATTCTGCAAATATGCAAAACCAAAAGTGGAGCTTCAGGCATTTGGAAAGTATGTCCCAAAACGAGGTTGACGCCTTATTAGATGAAATTCCAAGTGACCAGGAGTCAATTGTCTCTGATATTGAAAGCGTTTTGGGAGATGAATTGGATATTGATGAATTTCGGCGACCAAATAATGAGGATGCCTTTGATATTGGAAATAGGGACATCGTGTTTGAAGATCAAATTAACAATCAAGATGAAACAACCAGAACTTCAAATAACCAAGAATCCGAATCGGATAGTGAAGACGATGTACCGCTAGCAGTACGGCTAGCAAAGCAAAATAACTCTATATTTTGGACCCAAAATGAAAGTTATATAACACAAACAAATCAATTCACTGAAACTACAGGCCCAAACATTCCAAATTCTGCAGAAAACCCCACAGATGTATTTTTGGTACTATTTCCTGAGGATCTAATTCACCTAATTGTATTTCAAACCAATTTATATTACGTTCAAAAACACGGCGGAGGGAATGGATTTACACCTACCACAGAAGACGAAGTCAAAACCTTTCTTGGAGTAAATTTATTAATGGGTATAAAGAAAATGCCCAGTTACAGAGATTATTGGTCTTCACGTGATGAATTACGAGACCCTTTCATCAGTTCTGCTATGTCACGTAACAGATTCGCTTGGT